AAAAAAAAAAAAAAAAAAAAAAAAAAAAGATGGAAAATCCACAAAAAAAAATAATAAAATAAAATAAATGAATAAAATGAGCTCATGTATACCCTGCGCGAATGATTACGCGCGCTTTGGTTGTTGAGTGAAAATTTTGAGCCCAGGACATGACGCCTACAACCTTGCTGGGACTCGCGTCAAGTACATAACTGTTAATAAATATATATATATATAAGCATTTGCAATACTGTACAAATATATAGCGGAAAACAATATGCTTATATTACTAGTACTTGCATAACTACTTTCGTGTATAATAATTTTTTTCGTTTTGTTACTTTGCCTTTTATTCCGTACCGAACGGCCTTTAATTTAAACACAAATTATTTGCCTGTGCATGTGGCCAATTTGGATGTAAGACAACTGCGCTTTGTTGCGAATCCTCGTCTGACAGATGCCTCCGTCCGTAACTGATCTGCGATTTCGCCGCGCTAATTCCACAACCCTGGTGAAAACAACGAATAAGAAAAAATCAACCTTTTGATGAATTTTTTTTTTTGTTGCCGAAAGGAACAGTCAGCGCTAGCCACCTGTGCAACGATTTAAGTGCATGCAAAAATCAACTCATGTGAAAACCGCCATATGTTGGGCACCTGCGTGTTTATGTGTTCCCCTCGCTGTGAAAACTAGAGGACACAAGAGAGTGTTCCGCTGAGGGGAAGCATTTTTTTTTTTTAGCGTCGCTGCATAGATAACGGCTACACCGCGCGGTATGCTCGAAGGGTCACACACACCACGTGCCATTGCAATACATGTGAATTTGTACAGAGGCGTAAGGCATCGCTTCGTATAACACCGTTACACAGAGAGCAAACACCTGTTAACCCCGTTGTTGGCCATTTCCAAGGAGTTTTAAAAAAACAAAAATTATTAAATGAATTCTGCTAACGATGCCATCTTTTATGGCGACAAGAACTCAGTGCACTACAACGATCTAAACGAAAGTGCTCCGGACAGGTTCCTGAAGAATGGAGGGATGCAAAACGATTATATAATGAGCAATGATGTGACAAGTGAAGGAGTTGATGTCTCAGTGGATCCCATCGACAATGGCGCTGGCAATGCCGCATACCTAAATACACCTCTCCATCAGCACTTGCCACCACACCGAGGAGAGCAAAAAAGGAAACAGCAGGGAAAAATGGAAAGAGACAAATATGACCGAATTGAAGAAATTGAAAAATACCTGAACATTAACAACGCCACAAATGTTTGTTCACTGAGAATTAAATTGTGGGAAGCACTAATGCTGTATGTGAACAATGTAAACGCAGAGCTGATTTACTTCATAATAAATTGCCTGATGGAAGTAGAAGTCTATTGGGGGGAAGAAGCAACGAACAATTTACAAGACATTGTGAGCCTAATAAATGATAAGAAATATAAAGAAGTGTCAAATAAAATTGGAGAAATTTTATCCAGTTTGTCTGTAACCACAGGAAAAGTGACTGAAGAAAATCCTTTTTTTTACACATTGATTGTTTCCTCTAGGAGAGATGAGAACAGCAACAATTACAATTCCGACTTGGCATGCGAACTGAACAAAATTCTACAGTATGAACAGAACAGATTGTCCAACCAAAATAATAATAAAAATTTGGAGTACAAAATTATCGAAGTGAGCAACGCAAAAGAGGCTCTCCTGGCTTGCTTGATAAACTCACAGATTTTGTCTGTTGTGCTGGTGGACAATTTAGCCATTGATGAAGATTACAAAAGGGACAGATTTGAATTTTACAACTTCAATGAAGAGAACTCCGTGAACAACAAATGCGGCGGGGCCGTGTCTCCATATGTGCTGAAGTGTGGAATGGTAAATGGCGGCGCCCAGATGAAGCCCCCTCAGTTTACGCACAGCGTGCATAACGGATCGTCTTCGAACAACAGGGACGCCATGCGTAATATGATTCTGTCCAATTGTCATGGGTGCAACGGTAACAATGGGAGCGTTTGCAATAATTATTGCGGCGGGAACAGCCATTACGGGAACGGGCACTGCGCAAGCTCCCCAAGCGCTAACAACCATAACAACCCTAACAGCAGCGGAAGCACTGTACTGAATGAGCACAAGAAGGGAACGAACTTGCTTATGAAAGACTACAAATTCGATATAGGAAACTTCGTCCTGGGTTATGAACAACTTGTGGCTGCGCCCTTGGAGCAGATGAAGAAGGGATATAACAGCTTAGTGATCCTGATTAAGAGCATTGCTTATATTAGAAGTTCCGTGGACATTTTTTGCGTGTGCACTTCCATTACGCTGGATAAGCTACAATCTGTGAATAACAAGATAATTAGAATTTTCACCACACACGATGACCACAGCGATTTGCACGAATCCATCCTGGATGGAGTAAAGAAGAAGATAAAGACTCCATTTTTTAACGCCTTGAAAGCATATGCCGAGAGACCTATTGGTGTTTTTCATGCTCTAGCCATTAGCAAAGGGAATAGTGTGAGAAGAAGTAGATGGATACAATCGCTCCTTGACTTTTATGGTGTAAATTTATTTAAAGCAGAATCAAGTGCGACCTGTGGAGGGTTAGACTCTCTGCTAGATCCACATGGGTCATTAAAGGAAGCACAGATAATGGCTGCACGGGCGTATGGGAGCAAGTACTGTTTTTTCGTTACAAATGGAACATCCAGCTCGAATAAGATAGTGATGCAGGCATTGGTGAGGCCAGGAGATATTATCCTAGTGGATAGAGCTTGTCATAAATCACATCATTATGGATTTGTTCTAAGTCAAGCGTTACCATGTTACTTAGATCCTTACCCGGTGTCGAGATACGGAATATATGGTGCAGTACCGATATATGTAATTAAGAAGACGCTTTTAGAATATAGAAATAGTAACAAACTGCACTTGGTTAAATTGATCATTTTGACCAACTGTACTTTTGATGGAATTGTGTACAATGTAAAAAGGGTCATAGAAGAATGCCTAGCCATTAAGCCCGATTTAATTTTCCTGTTTGACGAAGCTTGGTTTGCTTACGCATGTTTTCATCCCATACTGAAATTTAGAACGGCCATGACTGTTGCGGATAAAATGAGGAACCCAGAGCAGAAGAGGATTTACCACAAGGTGCATAAGAAGCTGTTGAGGAAGTTTGGAAATGTAAAGAGCTTAAACGAGGTATCAGCGGAAATGCTTCTAAAAACGAGGTTGTACCCTAATCCGGATGAATACAAAGTGAGGGTATATGCAACACAGTCCATTCATAAATCGTTGACGTCTCTCAGACAAGGTAGTGTCATTTTGATTAGCGACGACAATTTCGAATCACATGCTTACACCCCATTTAAGGAAGCATACTACACCCATATGTCGACCTCGCCGAATTATCAAATACTGGCCACGTTAGATGCAGGAAGGGCTCAAATGGAACTGGAAGGATATGGCTTAGTGGAGAAGCAAGTGGAAGCAGCTCTGCTTATTAGAAAGGAACTAAGTGAGGACCCTATGATTTCACGATATTTCCGAACCCTAAATGCTGAAGACTTAATACCTGATAGTTTGAGACAGTGTCATAATTTGTACATGCAGCGGAAGAACAAGTGTACCAAGGAGGGCTATTCTACTGACTCGAAAGGGAGTGCTAATGGGACGTATTCTTGTGTGTCGAACAATCAGGGCAAGGGAAGCACTACTACAAAGGAGCAGCGTTCCAGAGCAGTGCGCAGGGCCAGGAGAGGTGGAAGCGTTACAAAATATGAGCAGCCACTACAGAGTAGCAACATGTCTTCTCACGAATGCGTAAATGATACAAATGCGTGCACAAATCATGTACTGCGCAATTCGCTCATGTTGGGGGATTCCACGAATAACAATAGCGCAGCGGAGGGGGGCCTAAACGACTTTGGAAATAATGACCCTCGTGGTGGTGCAAAAATGAGCAGGCGAAAAATGCGAAGAGATGATCGAAATGGAAAAGAGGGCGGAACTTCTGGAACGATGGACGACAGTAATAATGGGAGCATCATCCTGAATAGCGAAAATGAAAATCTGAGTTTTGTACAAGATAAGCATGGTAGAAATTATAACAGTTCCTCCTACTCAACGGGCGTGAAGAATTTCCTGGAATATTTTGAGTGTTCCTGGTTGAGCGAAGATGAATTTGTGTTGGACCCGACAAGAATTACTCTCTTCACTGGTTACTCAGGAATTGATGGAGATACCTTTAAGGTGAAGTGGCTCATGGATAAGTACGGAATTCAAATAAATAAAACTTCCATCAACAGTGTGCTGTTTCAAACGAATATTGGAACGACGGGTTCTTCTTGCCTCTTCTTGAGGAGTTGTTTGTCACTCATATCGCAGGAGCTGGACCAAAAGAAGAGTCTGTTTAATGAAAGAGATTTAAACCAGTTTAACGACAGTGTATACAATTTAGTTTCGAATTATATTGACCTGTCTGAGTTTAGTGAGTTCCACCCCTTGTTCAAGAAAAGATATTCTAACACTAGTATATTTAATAGGGAAGGAGATTTGAGGAAGGCTTTTTACTTAGCTTATGAGGAAGATTATGTAGAATATATTTTAATGGCTGACCTGAAAGAACGAGTAAGACAAAATGAGTTGATCGTTTCGGCTAGTTTCATCATTCCATATCCTCCAGGATTCCCCGTGTTGGTACCAGGACAGTTGATAAGTCAGGAAATCGTGGAGTACCTCTCAGGACTTAGTGTTAAAGAAATACATGGTTATGATGAAAGCATAGGGTTCAGATGCTTCTACAATTTTATCCTAGAATATTTTTACAACCTGGTTACTTCCGACCCTTATGCCTATTACCAAAAAATGGATAAAGGGACCTACGAAAGATTGAAGTCTGCTAATTTGAGCAAACGAAGGAACATGGACAATTCGTACAACCTGTATATATATGACCATGAAACGAGCAGGGCGAGGAAGATGAATGTGGGCAATGGGAGCTCCTCGATTTATAATAATACTTCCATTAGTGATACTTACGAGGATGTTATGCAGGTGCACAACATCAGGAGCGACCACGGAAGGGGTAACCATCATCACCACGTTCGTGAGTATGACAGTGGGAATAACAATTCTACTTCCACCGTTCCAACCTTGCCTCACGCAGCGGCAGACGGCTCGGTGAAAGGGCCAAATGGAAGGGCTAAAGGTGGAAGCGCAAGGGGTGGAAATGAGCGCGGTGTGGTGCGAACGACGGATGGTACGTTGCACAGCGCAGGTGTTAGCAGCTACACTAGAAGGAGAAGCAGAGAGGAGGGGTTCCAGGGCGTATGCGAAATGAACAATGAACAGGCTATTTCGAACGCAACGGTTGTCAGTTTGTCTGAGAGCAACTGCGGCAAATCGCGCGCAAAAGAATCATCACACGCGAAGGAATCGTTCAACGAGAGGGAACCGACCCGAGGTGACCAGAGACAGACGAACATTTACTACGACCTCTCAAACGATATGATGAAGTACGAACAGAATAGCTGCCTTGTTAGTAAGGTAAAAGAAAATGTGCTAATTGTTCAGCGCAGGAAAGCCTATGTCAGTTGCGACGTTGGGAGGGGATCGGCCAACTACAGCTATCGGGATGACCCTTCCCCATCAGTGCACAAACACAAGAAGGGGAAGAAGTGCAAGGGGTGTAAATCGTGTGCTGCAGGGAGGAGCAGCCAGCAGGCGGAGCTTGTGAAGCGAAGGGGCAAAGCGGATTGCATCTCCCACAAGAGAGAAGACACAAATGGATTCGCGAGTGAAGGAAGGCACGAGGACGATGTGCATGAGGGGGGAAGGCAACTCCCAAGTAGAGCTTCTAATGGTAGAGTTACGAAGAAGGGCAAAAAAAAGGATGGTTTGATAAGGGCATCTGGACTGGATGTAGCCGGTCGGGAAAATGAGGCAAATAATGCGGACAAGAATGAGGATGGAAATGCGGTTGATAGGACCAACAGCGATGGCGACACTACTATGCCGGATGAGGATGGTGAGAGCACCTCGGGTGCGAAGGAAAGAAGGCACGGCGGCAAAGCGCAAAACGTAGAAGGAACACATAGTGGCAGTTACAACGCGAAGAACAAAGGAAGCAATAAAAGGGGCAAGGCGCGAAAACAAAAAGGTAACCGTAATCGAAACCGCAATCGGGATTGTACCATCCACTCTGATGACAGCAGCAACGTACAGAGTGACGTCACGGTGAACACTTTGAACCAGCCCAATTCCATATCAGACATGCACTGCGTGAGGAAGGAGACAAAAAATGATAGACGTGAAGAAGAGAGGTATAAGGAGGATGGACGTGGTGGCCTCATTCCAAAAATCAGGCAGTTGAACCCTTTCATGTGCAACCAATTAGGGAAAAGTGGGTTGAGCTTGCAGAGGCAGAGGAAGCCTGCAGAGGGTGTAAATCACTGGAGCAGCCCCATGAGTGGTGTAGACGGTAAGGACTATTCGTCCTGTTCCGGTTTGAGGAAAAAGGGGAATGAAGTGGAAGGCCCGGGGGGTAACAACAAAAGGGAGGACAATAACGGTGTAGTTTCAAGCGAAAGTGCCAGTCCTTCTAGCGGGCAAAGCAGCGGTATGGCCTTCTCGGAGAATTACCAATCCAGTGAGAGCCTAAATAGAAGGGGAACCCACAGCCAGGCCAGCGGAAAGAGTTCCAGTGGGCACAGCGGAAGTGAAAAGGCCAACCATAATACTACTCGTTGTGGGGTGAAAAATGCAAAAAAGAATGACGAAGAGGTACATAACGTGAAGGAACTGAACAGTACAAACGAGTCGGAGAGGAATGACTCAAATGAAGAGGCCTCCTTAAAGAGAAAAATTTTTATTAGTGAGGAAGACATAGACAAGGTATGTGTGCACGACCAAACTGATAGTGATAACCGATCCAAGAACAGAGTGACTCCGGAGATTCCCCTGTCAAGTAGCAACGACATGATTAGTGGTGGTGACGACGTCAATGGCAGTGGAAGGAGAGCAGGAGGCCGAGTTGGTGGTCGTATGAACGTGAATGGAAATGATGCTAATAATGGATCCCCAAACACGCAGGGAACAGGGGAAGTAGCTTTTGGTGGAAATGATTTTCACGATGATGAAGAGGACGGCGACGAGGAGGATGATGAAGAGGACAGCGGCGATGAGGAGGAGGAGGACGACGACGAGGACGATGACGACCTGAAGATAAATTCTGCAGCTAGAGAAAACAACGAATTGGAGAAAAACTGCATGAGGAAATTAAATTCGCTTAACAATAATAGTTACATAAATAATCTGATAACACATGTGGACGACGACACGTTTATTCATAAGGAGGGTAATTTCTTCCTGGAGTGTGCCCTGACAAATTCCGAAATGAACGGAAGTTCCTTTGAAATGGAAATGTCCCTTAATAATATGTATTCAAATAGTGGCGAGGGGGGCAGGCACCCCGGCAGTTACGATGGAGGAAAGAAGAGTGACTTTGAGTAGGTGTGTTACACACTGTGAGTGTAGGTATAAAAACAGGGGGGGCAGTGTTCATGGCGATGTGACTTGTGTTAATCCGTACTCAGTATGCGCATGTCCTGTCGTCAAGACGTTGCATCTGTAACTTCTTGTGTGTGTTTTACCCTTTTTAGTAGCATAAGCGAAATTGTGTGATGCCTTTCTCATTTGTGACGAAAAAAAAAAAAAAAAATTCCCTTGTTTTTGTGCATTTTATTTATCGCGATTTTTCCCCTTTTGTAAAAATGTATGTGGATGAAAAACAAGGTGATTAGAATTCGGCACTGCATGGTACAAATGCATTTTAGAAAATATGGTTCGAGGCCCCGCTGGCCAAAACTTGGACAAAATTGCTTTCGTCAAGTCTTTTTTTTTTTTTATTTTTTTTATTTTTTTTTATTTTTTTTTATTCATTTTTTAAATTAACTTAACAGTAACTTAATTGTGTATAGTTTTTTATTTTCTTCATTACATAAAAAAAAAATTATTATTGTTCAAAAAAAAAAAATAAATAAAATTAGGAAAAAAAAAAAAAAAAAGGATAATCGTAAAGTGGGGAGTTATATAACATACGAGTAATCCAAACAGTTGCACGCCGTCTACCTGCGTGTGTAACTGAGGTAGGCGTTAAAGTAGTGGGACACCTGCGAGGGGTAACAAAGGGGTTGAAAAAGCAACATCTCATGAGTGTGTGCGGGGGGTGTACGGCATATAGCCGAACGGGTTAACCGCGCATCATGGGGATGTACTCCCTCGTTAGTTACCTTGTTGAATATGCCCAAAAAGGACTTGGGGACCATGGGGTGCGACAAGCACTGTCTGATCATTTCTGCAGGGGGAGGACACCGAGGGAGAAATGGACATTAAAATATACCGCTAAAAAAGCTGGGCGGCTAAAGTGGACGCCGGGACAAGCTCTCAAAAAAGTGCGCATGGCCAAATTACACACATTCCGCAACCGGGACGCACAAGCTTACCTCCGTTCTTCGAGTAGCAGGCGTGGAAATACGAATCCGAGGAGCTATACCTAAGTAGCATAGGGGGGAAAATATATATATTTTTAACATGGCCGTCTAGCAAGTGTGACAAAATGAAACACATTTTTATCCTTCCTCCTCCTTGGTGAGTGGTGCCGCTCCATATTTGAAAAACGATTGGTCTTACTTGAGCTTGAAGAAGTGCAGGTAAATGATCAAATTCAGGAGACTGACTCTTTTCAGGAAGAGACAAATGATTATGAAAACTAAATTGTAAATTTCAATGTTGGCTCGCATCAAATACACGTTCAGGATCTGCTCAAACGGGAGGCAAAAAGGTGTAAGACATGATGAGAGGTGAAAATGGGGGACAGTGAAAAACGGTTAAAACAAATGACACTCCTCAAACGAGTTTCCTTGTTCGAAAGTCTGTCATGGTTTAATTTGGTTGGTGCCACAGCTAGATGTGCATAAACATATTCTCACCGTGTGATCCAAGTAGGATACAATTTTGTTAAGATAGTAATTCCTGTGAAGGAGGTGGCAAGGGGGGAAATAATGTGACCAGAGTGGTGAACTGTAAAAAGCGATGTTGCGCTATCGCGCTGTTGCGCTGCTTTGCTTGTCTCTGCTCTGCTTGCACGGTCTACACTACCTTTGAATTGCGGGGGGTAACAGGGGCTTAATCTGTTTATACATTAAGTACGAATTAATTAAGAGGGTAAAAAAAATTGGCAAAAATATCAGCACGGCGTCCTTGATGAAAAATAATATCATGGAGTAGGACAAGTACTGGCCTAAAAAAGGGGGGGACAATGAAAAAAAAAAAATGAAGGGGGGACAACAATTTTGGTTAAATTGGCGGGGAAGATATGTGATAATAAATTATATTCTTCCATGTGGTGTCCGCTTTTCGGTCCACTTTTTACTGCCTGTATAGGCGTACCCTTTTCGCTCGAGAAGAATTGTACGAGGGAGAAATTGTGCCTCTGCGTTTTGTATTCCGTGTACAGCAAACTCAGGAAGGCGCAAAAGTAGGAGAGGCTCATAAAGGTGCCCATTTTCTGCGGAGTGGTGTAAGGGGGTGTAAATGTGGTGCATCGTTAGGGCAATGCAAGGATGAGACTACTGCAGCGTCCCAGCTACACTACCTCTCCTACCTTGTACAAACTCAAGTTCAGGGACAGCAACACAAAGTAAAAGAGACTAACGCATAGGACGAACGTGCTGAAGAAAAAAGTCATCAGGGGAACCTGCCCTGTGTATGTGTAGCCCTTGTTGCCATGCGCTTGAAAATTGGGGGGCTGCGGCGTTTCCTCCTTAGCGGCCTCAGTGCCAAAACTGGCATTGACATCGAGATTCCTGTCGACATTTTTCTGAAAATATTTTTTTTTGTATTTCTCAATATTGTGTATGGATGGGGAGGGGTATAAATTGCTTAAGTAGAGTTTCCATTTTTTGTCGTTTACCCAGTCGTGATCTGCAAAAAAGGGGACAGTGGGGGAAATGTGCAGTAGGAAAAAGTGTGCATTGGTACCCCTACACCTGCCTGCGCGTCTAGCGTTTGTTATCCCCCCCAAAAAATAAACACATATACGTGTGCATATAATGCTCATGCAGCACAGGAGTAGACTGTCTTTGTCACAGTTATATGGAAATATAAAAATTACTTAAAAACTTTTGTTCGGCCTCGGTTAACGTTTTCATCTTCCCTTGGAGAAATGGATATGATATGTACAACAGCACAGGGGGAGACTCAAAACAATTTGACCAATTTCTTTTTTTAAGTCCTTAAAGGTTCGCAATTTCGAGGCGATATTTGCAGCATAAGGGACAAAACAATTATGGCTTTCAAAAAAATTGGGAAATTTGTATATTCTTGGTAAACAGAGCCACAATTAAAGGGGGTATTTGTATGCCATGCGGTCCTGTTAGTTTTTTTTTTTTTTTTTTTTTTAAATTACTGTGTGAAAGCGCTTGTTACGCCTTCTTTTTTCATTTTGTAAATTTTATCACAAATTGGGCATCCTCATTATTGTTTAAAAGTAAAGGGGGAAGGAATAGGAACTTTCCTTTTCGACGGAAAAAAAAAAAAAAAAAAAAACGATCTACCGCTGACCCACCGCAGCAACGAGAAAGCGCCAAAAAAAAAAAAAAAAATACATAAATAACAAATAAAGGCAAGGGTGACAAAAATTTCTCCGTTGTTCTAAGGCGGCAAAATTTTGCCTGTTGTTAATACTGAGCGGCAAAACATAGTTTGAGGAAACCCTTATGGAAGCTGAAAAAGTGACCCCAACCTTTAACTTCTTTTTTTCATAAGTCCACCATTTTTTAGCCAAGCGATTCTCCAAATGGAGCAACATCCTTTCCAGGCAACCCCCGAAAGTTGGAGCGAACGTCATTAGTACCGCGTCATTTCTTTGGTAGTTTGCTCCTTTCCCTGGTTTGACGATGCTTCGTGCCATTTTTGCCATTTGACAAGTTCCTGTGAGAACGCCTTTCCCCCGCAACGCTCAAGCAACGACCAGCTGCTGACCAGAGATAGGAGCAAAAATGCAACCCCCCTCCTCTGATTATTATTTGTAAATGAATGCTCTAAAGGTATCCTCTCACCGAGCGTACTGTTCCCGTTAGTGTCCCCACGACAACCACAACGAGAAAAGGCTTGCTACTTTCTCCACCAGATAATATGTCAATCGCCAGTACCCCAAAATGAACGAGCGAATTATAAAAGAAAAATTAAAAGCTTCAGTTAATCACCTGAACAAGAGGAAGCTAAAGTTTGACTTGAAAATATTTCCCATAAAAAAAACAGTGTACGAAATTTTTAATATTTTTTCGAAAGATTTAAAAAGAAAGTTGAGCCAAACTTTGATAGAGTTAAAGAAGAGAAAGAAGAAGTGCGATGTTTGTTCGGCACGAATTGATGTCTTCACTCCGTTTCTCGCTTATGAGATTGACGTAAACAACACAACGTTTCTATTTCGCAGGATTGAGGTAAGTGACGCAGAGGGGAGGGAAAATAAAAAACAAAAGGAGAACACGCAAATGTTTACTTCCGTGTCTTCGTCTGGGCGGTTGCATATGTGCCCAGATTGTGTGCGAACCACGTGTGGAGTGGGTATACCCGCAACATGCACCTCACAAATGAGATGCAAATCACGTCTCGTTAACGCTAACCCCGTACACGCTTCTCCCCCGTTTAGGCCTACTGCTCCAAATGCCTTGAAATAAAAAACTTCACCAATTTTTCCCGCGAGCTTTACCAAAATGTAGACGACGGGGAGTTCCTCAATTTCGCCCCCATGTACGAGCATTATTATCAAGTGAACAATTTGGAAATGCATCAGAAGAATATTCTCCAAAATGATATAAACAACTACTTCTGCGTCTCCGTGCTGGCCAAGAATTTAAGGTGGACATGCTCCACGCCGCATAACACCTTCGATGAATTTTTACAGTTCTCACTAAGCAGTATAGAAGAAGAAGAGGGACCCAGCGTGAATGAAGATGTGTCCAAGAAGAGAAAAACGGAGGAGCCAGAATTGGCTGACATTTTAAACAACACCAAAAGGAAGAAGGTTCTCAGCAATTAGAGGCGGAGACGGGGGCCAAAAATAGCTGAAGTGACGACAGGGAGAGCACACGAGTGTTTTTTCTTTTTTTTTTTCCACCATTAAATTAGGCGCAATAATTGGTACAAGGGAAGTGACTCACTTGGATGAGCCTTCCTGAAGTGCTACCATGTTAAGAGCCCTTCTGCGCACGGTTCGCAAAAGGAGGGCGTAACCCATGGGATAGTATATTTGCTGCCCTTATGGCAATCCTTTTTCAAGTTACATTGTTTGGATCATTCATTTATTTATTTTTTATATAAAATTTTTTTTTTTTGCTAGTTTTCATTTGTTTGTATTGTCCTAATGGTGGCAATAACACCGCCAAGTGGACGTACTGCCGCTTCATTTGAAATTCTCAACCTTTTTTTTAATTAATTAAACGATGGGAGGGCAAGAAGCTCCCTTTAATTGGGCCTCCTCCTTATACAGAGTAGCCTATTGTTGGCTGTTTTTTTTTTTTTTTTTTTTTTTTTGGAGAAGTTGTGAAAAAATGGGGGTGTGTTACAAAGGTGGCAGCAACACAGGGGGTGAGGGAAAAAACCACGGTGCACACATAAACATATAAACATATAAAAATACAAGATCGATAAGAAAATTGATGAATTAGAGCAACGCGTTGGGATGGCCCTTTTCTTGCATAGGGTGTTGTCTGTCAAATGAAGGACGTCTCTACGTCGGCTTCATCCCCGTCATTTTGGTCAAGCAGGGAAAACTGCAGGAAATGGTTTGGCCTGTGTATATCGGAGTAAAAGGGTTGCGGGATGTCCAACAGAGCGGAGTATTTTTGATTATTGTTAAATTTGATACCCATCAAATTGTAGTTCCATATATTATCATCGGGGATTAAAAAGAAACCAACAAAGACATTGGATAGAAGTATCTGGACTTGTTCATACAGATTATTGGCATTTGGGTAGGCATACAGATCAGCTGAATTTTGTTTGCTCTTGGCAAAGGCATACCCATCATCAGTTAGTTTGTAAGCATTGATGGTACAGCTACCTGGAGTAAATGAACAAGTAAGAATTATAGTTTTGTTTTTGTCCCATACTTTGGAAAACTCTCCACTGTCATCATTTGCATTATCTTCATTTGTGACTTCCTCATCCGAGTAGTCTCCATCTGTTTTTTTCTTCTTCCTGGCTTTACACTCTTGTAGAAATGACAAATGTGCAACCATGTCGTATGTGGTTAAGTGGTTAGAGGTGTTAGAGCAGTTGGTGGTCTGGGTGTGAATCCAACCGAGTAGTTCCATATTGTCCAAATATTTACTCGAGGGTAAATAATTTGAAAGGGTAACAGATTGGTAGTTGCCAATTTGGGGGGGGATCAGAATGCATTTGATCTCCTTTACATAGGAGTTGTCAGGTGGGGAAGAACCATATAAGAATCCCCCAATTTGTATTTTCAAATCGGAAATGCAAATGAATTTTTCCAATAAATTTTTTGCAATAACGTAAGTATAATCGTTAATGGAGCTGATGGTATTCATACCGCTGTTACCTCCTTCCTGAGTTACACTCTTTAAGGCACTGTTATTGACATAAATATTTTTGGTTCTAAAGAGTAGGGAGTTATTTGCAAGGTATCGTATTTTCCAATCCGTCTTTGTGGTGAATGTTTGCTGTTCATGAGGGGACAATGTTGAGACGATCATTTCAGTTCCATGCTTCGTGGTCGTCTTGGATGTTGTAACCTTCATTTGTTGCTCTATATTATCCAAATTGTTCTTTTCTAGTTCTGCAATTTGCTGCCTCTGTATAGATGGGGGTGTTATTTCCATACCTAACAGGATGTCCCTGATTTCGTTCTGAGTTAGTGAAGCGATATGTACATTGTTCCTCTTCGCATAGTCATTAAGAATTAGATCTTTCAATTGGACTTCTAAATTAATCCACTGGTTATTATTGAAGGAGGGCCAGATATGATGTGGCTGTGTTACAATGTTTTTATTCGGTTGTAAGAGGATTTTTGTTTGCTGCGGGTTTATGTGTAAACTTCTCAGTATGAGTATTAGCCTACTAAATGCGGTGAAGGACGAAATTGTGTTTAGCCAATCATCATACAAATTGAATAAGAGCATCTGTGGCTGGGTTGCCTTTAAGATGAGGTCTCCTATTTTGTTCAGTTTCAGTAAGGCTTGAAATGGGAGATTCAATTCAGTTCCTTTGATTATAATATTAGGGAAATCTAGTAAGTGCACTTCCAACGGATCTAGCATTCCTTTTCTGGTTACGATAATTTGTTTTGGTTGTTCTTCTATAGGAAGAGACCTAATTAGGGATGCCACTTCTTCTGCTGTTTTCCATTTGGCTAGCTGAGATAAACGCTTTTGTCCAATCCATACAGACGTGTGGATAATTTTTAAAAAGAGCTGTCCTGTTTTAGGGTTCAGAATGAAGATGGCGCCATTAATGGGTTTGGTGGTAAGATTTCCTTCAAAGGTCTTATGGATGGTAACTCGGTAAACGTTGGTGTCATCCACAAACCAGATGGTCTGCGAAGAGAAAAGCTCATTATAGTTTTGAGTATTTAGGTACGGTTCTGTGGGTTCAGAGGAGTATAGTTGAAGTCCTTTTCTGATTCTTTCCCTCAGCACGTATAGCGATGGGTTCGACTGAATAATTTTTTGCAGCGCCTTTTGCATCAATGGTTTGAGATTGTTAAACCAATTTCCATAAGCAGAGTATAGGTTGTATGCCAAGTCGACCCCTATTAGGACCCCTGTGAGGCAAGGGTATATGGATAAATTGTCTGTGGTGTAATCTAAGAACTTTGCTCTGCTGTATCTCTCAATGTCATGTGAATCGAAATCTCCCCATCGGAGCTGAATGTCAATCCAGTACTGATTAGATGTGTAAGGATAGGATCCCAGGGCTATCGAGCTGTTGGATTTAATTTCTAAATTGTTTAAGAAAATATTATCTTCGTCTGAGAGTAGAGATGGCTTGGAAATACCCCATTTGTAATTGGCAAAGAGGAGAATATCTGCACAAGAGCTATTCATTTTATAAGACTTCCTGGGGTGGATGGTCTCCTTCTGTACCGTTTCTATTTCTAGCAGATCCGAATTCAAATCAAACACTTGACATATATCCATCACTAACGACTCGTGAATCTTTTGCCACAGATGTGCTCTGAATATTTGGATGAGGGATATTTTCAGTGTGGGAATTTTTCCATGCATGAATATACCTGTTAGGTCTAACTGCACTTGGAACCCTACGTACACATTAGCACGATTTATTGTTGGGGACCACCACAGAGTAAATCTTCTGTTTGGAATTTGATTCAATCCACTTCTCTGCGCATTGGTTAACTTTTTATACTTCATAGATTCTTCAAACCCACTGGCTTTCTCCCAAAATAGACCTTCCCATGTGGGAAAAAAGGTACCTTTAAATAGCGTATGTTCTAATATCCCTTCAACACCTCCCAAGGCTTGAATCATGTCCGTTCGATAGTTGTTCAGATTCCACAGCTTTCCATCATGTCTCTGGTTGGTCCACCAGAACGGGTTACTCTTAATAATTTGATACTGCTTGAAGAGTTGCCTTATTCTCCATCCCTTATCGTATGCTAAGGTGTGTCTGTCTTTCTGAAACAGGGTGTTAATTCTGGGGATACCTTTGTCCCAGGAATCTTCCAAATCTTCTAAAGTAATTTTCTTATTTTGATTGTGACATTCATTTCTTTTTAGTGCGTATTCACACCATACCCTTTGGCTCTCTAGAAATTCACTTTCCCAGGTGGAGATGTATCTGTATAGGTTGGGGATTAGCTGATCTTCTTCGTGAGAGAGCCCGGCTCTAAAATGGGTAATTTTTCCACAGTCTGTTTGCTTCATATAACGTAGATCGGATTCTGGGATTAATATATGTCCCATGGAGAGCATACCCAGGCCACCCAATTCCTTAGGGGTGTAGAATACAACGGGTGGAAAACGAGAAGGCATTTTCGAATTTAGACCTATCTTAATACGAGTTTGAATTTTATTTTCACATTTTACAAGCAAGTCTAACAACTCTTCTGTGTCTAAGACGGCCTCTCTGAAGTAGGTCATCAATCCGATGAGGGTGGTGTTCCATTTGTTTGCAATTTTGGTAAAGGTGGTACTACCAGAAGACATTAAAATTTGCCTGACTCGATTTTCAAATCGTTTCATACTATTTTCGGACACTTTTAAGTATGCCTCTGCAGTGATTTCTTTTGTAACTTCATTTTGCAATTTCCACGTACCTTCCTTTTCGCTGGATGATATGACCACGTTTTTCTCTCCCCCTCCTGCTTGATCCGCATTTATGGTGGAAGCGGCGTCTTTATTATTTGGGTCCTTCTTTCCATACTCATTTATATACGTAGTATACATATTAATGCCGTAGGAAAGTTGCCTTATTTTGGGCAAAATACGGACTTCAAATCCTGCGATGGTGAAGAGTAAATTAGGGTTGTCCTTCGAATAGACACTGACGAAGGTGTTATGATGATCCCAATCTAAAGAAGTTAATGATCTGGGGATTCTATTTTGGATTTCCCAAAACGTTGCTCTGCCTAGGTTAACATCATGTTTCATTTTTCTCATTCGACAATCCCTTGGCCAACAGGTCTTGTTATTATAGCCAACGATGTTTTCATTATTTGGGTCAGGATTTTCTGTTAAAAATTTTTGAATCAAATCTTTAGATTCTTCATTTGAAAATTTGAAAAGGATCCAAATTTTGTCCACATATCTGCAGTAGAGTCTGATCGGATGTCTGGTCTCTACACGTACATTCTGAAAGCTCAGAAAAGGGTTCACGTCGTTATAAGGACCAGCAATGTCATATGCTCTTGTTAACCCTAGGATGAGTAAATCAATAATAATGGTATAGTATTGAAATACAAAGGAAGAAAATTGTAGTCCTCGAATAATTCCAAAGGAGTTTATATGGTTCATATCTTTAAAGGTAATGTTTGTATTATTCTTTGCGGTTATGTAATCTGCAATGTTGTGGTCCACAATCAAACGTAACAATCTGTTTAGAAGGGTCAAATCGATTTTCTCGTATATTTTACTAAACTGTGTTTGTAGCATTACCAAGCATTCATTGTTTTTTGTTTCCCAAATGTTATGTAGGTTGTTTATCCCCTGGCACATTTTATACACTAGTAATGGCTGCGGTTCGTTATCGGATGGTTTGACCCAATTTGGAAATAAATTTCTTAAGTCTCCCTCATACCACAGATACTGGTCTAAGTAAGCGTCTGTAATTTTTTCTAGAGGGTCAACTTCGTACACAGGTACTAAGTGTGTGTAGAGGTCAAGGAACGAGATGGATATTTCTTTGAATGCTCTCTGGGTAAGTAGGTGCCTTTTTATCCTAGATAAAGTTTCGTATGGGTTATCATACGCCTGTTCTATGAACCCTAGCTCTTCCCTCTGGGATTGATTAAGTCTATTTTTAACAGTAAATGTTTCTTTCAATTTTTCCAGCGCTAAAATGAGTAACTTGGTATCATGCTTATAATTGAGTGGAGGAAAAGGAATGTGTGTAAATTTACGCGACTCGAACCAGTGAATTGCCGTGGTGTAAAGTGCGACGGCTTCTTCTCCAGTCACGTATGGACCATCCTTTAAATATTCATGTTGCCTTTCCTGTTCAGCCTTCAACCAGAGTCTGGTTAATCTACCTAGATTTTTTTTACACACCGTTTTATCCACAGTGGCCCCTCTCTTAATCCTCTCCCTGTTATAATAAGTAGCATTAATCCACCAATCTGCCTTTAGCTTAATATATCGAATGATCATATTTTCTACTGGGAGAGGCAACCCGACAACCTTCCAAGGTATGTTAGCTTTCCAACATCTCCATGCTTCACTAAGATGTTGCAAAATGAGTCTAGCCTTCCCTTTATTATTTTTGAGTCCAGCAGGTATCATATCGATTATATCATGCATGACAGCTGCTCTGAGTTCTAAATCAAAGTGGCTTTCCACCCTTTGCTTGGTAACCGTTTTGGCAATCCCTTTGGAGACTCTTCCCTCGAATTGTCTCGCCAGTAAATTGCTGAGCCATCTTTCTAGTAAGGGTATAACCCCTCTGAGGAAGAAAATCCACACTCTCCACAAAGGTGCCCACAATCCACAACCAGGACCTTTTCCCACGGAGCCTGTATTAAACCTATAATAAATTAAATGCTTCAAATCTTTACACATCCTTACTTGTCTCATAAGTCTGTATTTGTATCTGTACATTCCTGTCAGTTGACCCACGTGGGCAAATATATATTGTATGCCATCTGCCAATTGGTACGCATCAATATTTCCAAGCCTATATTGCACATGTGAATCTACTATCGATTTAGTTAATCTTAAGATTTCTCTGCATAAGTGGAAGGCGTTACCAAAACGAGACTTCTTCCTCTCCTTTGTGGTTAACGTTTTGACTGGCTTCAAATTGAAATTGTAATCAAGATGAAGGTAATTCAAATTCTTCCTATGGATTAGTAAATTGAGCATGTTGTATCCTTGTCTGCATACCTGCAGACCTACTTCCACCCAATCCATTTCTGTGCATTGGAAAAATTTCGTACTTTTAAATATTCTGAATAAATATTTTTTCTTCATACTTTTTGGTCTCTTGGAGTGGAGATGATTTAGGACCCAACATTTGAGGAGCTTCTGGTAGGACACCCTGACCTTGACTGGGTACTTGTTCGATATGTGTTCTTTGAACCAGGACTGCACGAGGGGTATATCTATTCCTCTCCTTGTGTATCCGCACTTTTTGTTAAATGGGTAGGGAGCATGGTAGAGTTGAATTCCATTGATGGTTTTTTCCGTATAGAGGGGGTACTCGTGCAGCAGGGGCAGCATTCCGTACTGCACATTTTTGACTACTATTTTGAGCTTGTTCGAAGTTGTGGCTTCTTCCCGTTTTGTTTCGGGTTGCTTCGACCCGCGGTTATCCTCCTCCGTGCCCTCGTCATTCTCGCGGTTATCATCTTCATCCTCTTCCCCATCCGCATCCCCATCCTCATCGTAGGGGTTCCTCCTCTTCTTGCCGCTCCTGGGGTAGCCCGTCCTGGAGCTGTTATCCCCAGAGTAATTTTCTATGGTACTATTGTCCACCTCATGTTCGTCCCTATATTTGCTGCTGCAGATGTTGGTGTCGCTATTATCATCGCTGCTGCGGTGATGTTGGCTGCTTTTCTCGCTAGCCCTTCCGCCTCTACTTTTACCACCACCATTCTTGTATGTTCTCCTGTCGCTGTCCTCCTGGTTACGATCATCCTTGTAATCATCTGAGAGGGTCTCATCATGGCTGGAGTGATAATCCCCTTTTTTGTCCCTCCTGGAGTAATGTTTATCCCCTCGCTTGTTTCTTCGTTCTCTCGAGTACTTATCCCTTCCATTTTTGTTAACCTTACCACTTCTGCGTCTGGAATTGGCTGTCCTTCCTTCTCGCCCACTACTAGCAGCGCTTGCATCACTACTATATTCACTTTCGTGGTCATCCGTGGAATGTTCCTTGTGGCGATTTTTAGAGTGACTAGAATTGCTACTTCTTTTTCTTCCCTGGGAATGTACCTTCTGATAGTGTATCTCCTTTCTTGTAAAAATGAGACAGAAATCATCCAAATGTTTTTTGTCCTTCTCTGGATTTTCAAAATTTCTAATCTTGTAAGATGGAATAGGGTTGATGATGAGGTCGAAGTAGAAAGGGGGGAGATCAATGTCTTCCAATTTGATGTAGACACACATAGGGGAATGGTATTTACTAACAGCAATTTTTCTGGGTCTATTATTATACAAATAAGGGAAGGCAATTTTATATTCCGTTCTAATTTGTTGGCGTATAATAATTTTATTAATATCATTAAATTCATTCCAGTCTTCATCATCTTCGTATATGTCCCTATACAAAGGTTCGAATTTTGGTCCACCTGGAATGGCCATATTTAACGCCTTGGCAGTGTAGAAGGATTTCAGATTGAATAAGTAGAAATAATTATCGTCCTGGAAATCACTAAAGAGTTGATTTCCTAATCTGTAAAGGACCCCCATTTGTTCCAAACTCAATTTATACTTTTTATAGCTAGTTCCTAAAATGTGGTTCCGATTATATAGCAGAGGTTTAGAATCGTAAAACCAGTCAATAACACTTTTGTCCTCATCTTTGTCTAACTTCATTTGTATACATTCTAACGGTTCTATATCTAAAATATTATCTGCGTAATCGAGGGGAGGTTCTTCATCATCAAAAGGGGGGAATCTCATCCTTTTGAAATGCTTCCGATCTCTTTTTTCCCTTCTCATCATAATCCACATGGTTCCCCACTGAGCAATGTATAGAGGATCTATGACTACGAAAATTTCATTCACGAAAGTTATCGCCCCAGTGATGTGATAAATGACTTTTGTGTTTTTAATTTGTTCCCAAGGCATGGGTATATTCTCTAACAGCTTAAAAACAGCATGAGGCACATATTTCAAGGCACCCAAATATACTCTCTTATCATATCTGTACTTTTTATTACTCATGTCTCCATGTTCTTTAACAATTTTTCTAAGATGTTCACATGGCATTTCTTCTTTTTCTTCCATGACTCCAAATTTTTTTTTTTTGGAATATTTTTTACTATTTATCATTTTCCATTTTCGTGCCTTTTCTTTTACTACATTAAATTCAGTTGGCTCTGGAATGACGACCTCCTGCTCGACTGGTTTTTCTGTTATTTCTTCCACTTGGTTATATTTCATTTTAGCATAATAGCTTTCTTCGTCATGATGTCTCCTCCTTCTTCTCCTTTTCCTTCGTTCGCTCCGTGATATGTATTCATCGTGCATATCTTCTACGTTGTGTCTCCTGCCCCCTCGCATGTAGTCCTCCTCATCATTGTAGTGGGGATAATAATCTTCTGGTCCTCCGGTTTCGTTATGGTACATTGGTGGGGGCATGTGGTTTAGATTGTTTCTGAACCCATCTGTCATGTCGTCCATTCCTGTTTGTGCATAGCTGCCCATGTGTGCCCTACTGGGGAGGAAGTAATACGGCATACCATTCATCCCCGGTTCAGCGCCATTCATTTGATTTTTCATTTTCATCATGAAGGGAGGTGGGGGCATACTCATCATGTTTGGCATGAGGGGGTTCATGTTAGGTGGAAGGTAGTTCATGTTCGGGGGCATGTTGGCCATGTTGGGCGGCAGGTTAGCCATGTTTGGGGGGAGGCTGCTCATGAGCGGTGGCATGTTCATCATGTTGGGTGGCAAGTTCGACATGCCTGGAGGAAATGCAGTCTTGCCCTGCAGAAAGCTGTCCCCCATTGCTCCTGGTCCTGCCGGTGGGGGCCCTGGGGGCCCTGGTGCAGTGGGGCCGTGTTTCCCCTTTTCCGGAAGCCCGATCAAACGAGGGTTCATGTCATACTGTGCCATGTTGTAATATAGGTTGTTGGGGGGACCCTGGAGGTTACTAAAGAGGTTCATATTATTGGGTAGTGGAGGGATTCCTGCACTTGGCATTGGGCCTCTGATCATGCCATTGTTATCTACGTGTGGGGACGGGCCGTTAGCTGCGTTTTCCCCTTGGCCATTTTCGTAATTGTTCGTGTTACTTAAGCTTGGGTCATGGTAGGCTGTACCGTTCTCTTGATGTTCGCCCTGTGGTGTGGAGGGAGGAAATATGATAAACGGTTGTTAAAGGGGGGGGAGTATGCGAGTACCATGGTCTACACAATTACCATGGACCACTCAATATCCACGTGCGGCGCATTGCACACGTACCCTTCTCTCTCTCTCTCTCTCTGCTTACCTCGTTCGAGCCATCATCCGCGGGCTGTTCTCGCCCACCATGGTTGGTCATTTCAGATGGGAGAAGGACGCTATCTGAGTTAAGTTTGCCAAGAGAATTCTATCTGCTCGTGGGAAGTACTATATCTGTGTATGCCCCCTTTTCATACAAGGTACACTTGCATGTGCTTTTTTTTCTCGCGTGTTTTGTTTGCAGTGGCCTCTTAACACAGAGCAGAGAACAGGACGAGTATAAACCAAGGACTATGCGCAAGAAGGAAAAACATATATTTTTTTCTTTTTTTGCTTATCCTTGAGATAGTATTAAAAAGGTTTCTCACTCGCGTGAGCCATCATTTGTGCGAACATAGAATATGCGTACAAATGGGCAGTTACATATGCATAAAGGTATGTATATATACAAGCCGTACATGAGTAACATACATGCGACGGGCGTGATGCGTGTGGCCCTATTGATGACCACAGAGAAGAAGCCTGCGCAAAATGACTGCGGTTAGAAGTGCTCCTCTGAGTTGAAGCCCTTTCAGCATAGTAACGAACTCGTGCGCCAGAAACAATTCCTTCGATAGCCATTCGCGGCAACATACAAAAAAAAGGTTACATGAGCATATGCGCTATATGTCACGGTACATATATATATATGCACTTTTTTTTTTTGGAGGAAAAAAAAAAAAAAAAAAAAAAAAACTGTTCTGGTGACCATGCATTAAGAAATTCCTCTGAAAAAATAATGTGGCTCTGTTAATTTGATGAATGCAAAGAACCGCGTACAAGTTTGCACTTTTAAGAGAGCAACATATTTCCCTGTTTTTAAGTATATATGGTTCGAAATATATATATATGCGTTATATTTTGAGGGGTATAGTGTAAACTTCGTAGTGCCTGGCACCCAGCGCTGATTGAAAAGGTTTAAATGGTAAAGAGAGCAGGTGAAGAAGAGACTGTAGCTGCCTCTACCAATTTTTGCCATTTTCCCATGGGCACAATTACTTTTAAGGTGCACCCTACAAATGGATGAAAAATGAGCGTTACATCTGCAAAGTACACGGGTGAGACGGCCTGACACCCCTGAACAATAAACTCACATGACACATCATTAAAGCGGACAAATTGAAATAAATAATAACTGTACTTAGCATGTGATACGTATACAGCTGTATGGCAAGCTATAAATGGGGGGGACCTCTATTTCATGGAGGGGAAATAAAAAAAATACCATGCTTATGATTTTTCCCCTAGGGTGTTCAACAAACTGGGTATACAATAATGAGGCTTCAGCAAACTGGCCTGAAATCTGTGCGCCTGTTTGAGGCCTCCCAATTGATATTTGCACTTTGGGTAGGTTAAAAATAAAGGTAAGGGGATGGGTATGCCACGAAGGGGGAAAGAAAACAACACCCAATTTGCACGGCTTACACATGCTAAAGGGGGGACTCACGATCCACCAGATATGCTATGCAAAAAGGATGATCAGCTGGGGGAGGGAGTAGGCTCTGGCACAGTGTCCCAACCTTTGTTGTTCTACAACCATGCGGGGAAGGTATTTGCCCCCTGCTCTTCTCGCCTTCTTTGCAAATTACTTTCTTTGCGCATTCATTTTTGCAGACCCCAGCACAAATGTGTTCCCCCAAATTGGGGCTGTAATGAAAGTGACAAAAGGGCAAGGACAGGGAAACAGTGGGGAAATGGAAATTCCCAAATGTGTTAGTTCACGGAACCTTTTTTGTGAAAAACGCCTGTGGTGATAATATACACTCCTCCCCTTTTGGCCATTTTAGGGCCTACACTTTCATAGCACGGGGGTACAAATGTAGAGGTACATACTTTAGCCCTTCCCCAAAATTGCTATTCCCCTCCCATTTGCGCCTTTTAAGGCGTTACTAAAAAACACATGGAGGGAACTCCGGTGAAGTTTCCCCTTTAAGTATCACGCATAATGCGAATGTGTAACGCACTGGTGTGTATATCAAGGGGAAAGGGAAAAAAGAATTAAATTAAATTGAATTAAGTCAACTTAGCATGAATTCGAAATTTTTTTTTTTTTTTTTTTAAGAGGAGCTGTTTCCACTTAGTTTGTTCATTTAGGAGGAAACTGTGAGCCGCGCTATTTTGTTAGCATGTTTGAGAATGCACAACCTCGTGTGAGCTCAAGCAATGTCATGTTAAAGACATGCATGCGGAACAATCCGTCAGAAGGGAAAGTGATAAAATAATTCACTTGAGAAAAATGAACCATATGACTTCTTCCCTCGAGGCATCATCAGGCCTTCATCATGCAATGTTTACCTTGTATTCTTCTTCCCCACACTTGCGCCTTGTGAGAGACGTTAGAATTGTTGCAGGCAAATAGCAGCATCAAACAGGGGACACGAAATGCTGTGAAGACAACCAAATGGTGACGAATCGATCATGTATGAAATACATGGGCTTGTAAAAAAAAGTCATGAAAAATGGCAAAAGGAACAATTCCTCGAGTGTGACGGCATACGCAGAGCGTCCTTCCACGCTCGTAAAAATAAGTGAACACGATGTGGTCATTTAAAAAATTAAACAATATTAAAGGAAATCTCCTGAGCGCTTTGCAAAAATTAACGATTTGATAATCGACACATGGGTAGTGTCGAATGGCCTTTTTATAAATCTTAAACAGGAAACCTGCTGACCTCCACCCCACTCTTGTTGCCGAGCGTTAACGAGTTGTATGCCCACTTAGAAACGATGCATGTACATCCCCCCGTCGATCATTTCTTTTTTTTTTTTGTTTTTTTTGTTTAACCTGTTTTATTATTGCGTGCAAAATGAAGGCATTTGAGGAAATTCTCTTAGTGGTTATTCTAAGTTGGTGTTATATCATGAGCCCTTGAGGTTCTTCCTTTAAGTGTCTACATAGTACCAACGGCACGCAACCGCTTCATCGTGTAATTCTGCAACTTGAGAGACGGGGATGGTCAAGTGGAACCACATGGGGGAAGCAACGACGTGTTCGATCTTGTGTGAAACAGATGTGCATGCAAAGGTGTGCCAAGTGAAATTGTAAAATGTGTACACATTAAGTCGGTAAAAAAAAAAAAAAAAAAAA